TCCTGAGCCCTGCACTCTATACGTAATGCACTCCTATGGGAGACAGCCTCCGGAAATCACAATAGGTGCTTTAGATAGAGGTAAGTACACACTATAAAAATATATATACTTTCTTCATTTTTAATTTCAGAAGCTTACCACCTTAAATGTTTGAAAAATTACCAATGTTCGTTAGGAAAAAAATATTTAGAAGCAATTTTTAAGAAACACTGACAACTTACTCAAGTAAGGCAAAATAACAGTGTCTCTAGAAAGAATGGTGAGGGAACACACTTAAGGTGAGTATAAGGGAGTCAGGGGAACCTTTTGCAGGCATGTACAAAAGAAAATGTCAGTTGTGTAAAGAAACAAGCAGATTTTTTCCACAATTAGAGCCGGGGGGAGCTTTTATCCACAAACTGCCTTTATCTCTATATAAGTAAAAGCAGCTTGATGCAGCTTAACCCCTTTCCACCCATCATGGCCTTTTAACTGGGTCTTAAGGTAGGTGGGTTGCATGGACTTCCCATTCAAGTGGCCACTGTAATTGGATGTCGTAGTGGTCATATGATCTGGAGCCTGTCTCAGTGCCTTCTGATCCTACTTAGACACAGTGAGCTGATGGTGAGAGTAGAGAATCCTCAGTTGCCATGGATGAATATGTGCGGCGTGTGGGCACACTCCCTTTTCTGATGCACATATGCGTTACTCAGTCAGCAAGGGGTTAAACCGAGGTCAACTGCAGGTCAAATGTACCTGTCAGTTGACTTTGAGATCAGTTTGAGAGCCTTCTAAGATGATTCAAATGCAAGCTGAATGCACATGAAAGCAAGCTGCATTTGCCCATTGACTAGGGTTGCCACCTCACCCCTTTAAACCTGAACACTTATTAATTACACAGGTTCTGTGGCTTATTAAGGTGGTATTTAAATGCACTTAGTGCCTTGTCTGCAATAAATTAGCCCCAGAACCTGTGTAGTTAATATGTGTTTGGTTTTAAAGGGATGAGGTGGCAACCCTACCGTTGGCCCAGGACCTAAGTTTGGTTAAGCCGTGAAATACTTTACCATATAAGGTGGAAATTCCAGACTGACCACTGTTTTTTATAAAGGGGCTGGATGATCTTCTACAGCTAAAAGTGTTCACAGATATAATTACTAAAGAATAATGTGGAAATTTATTTGACTGCCCTTGGAGGGTCAGGGTTCTTCTATGTGGAAAAACTTACAGCAATTATCCTTCAAGGCTTTGTTTTCCATTTCCCGGGACCAAACCAAGAAGTTGTGAGAAGTGGAATTTGATGCACATACTGTGAGTTTTTATTTCAGTCTGTTTATTAGATAACTATTTTAGGTGAGGGAAGGATAAAATGCATCATTTACTTATAAACCCCCAATGACAGCAACTGTGTTTACTTTGTCCAATTCTTCTTGTGTTCAGGCCTTTTAATACTCTATGACAATGTGAGATTTAAAGACAATGTTTCATGACATTTATATTGATATGGATTCAAAGTATTAGTTGGGACAATTTTAAAAAATATGGATGAACTATGTATAGCACCCTCCTAGTTCAGCTAAGGGGAGCTAGACCTTAATATTTAGCCAGGAGCTGGTTAGCAGCTCAGGTGTGATAGCCAGAGGGGTCATACTGTGGTCAAGGCTGAGACACTCTGCAGGCCATCCCCTTTGGAATTTCCCCCTGCTCTGAGGTTTTGTAGGAGGGCCTTGGAGGCAGTGGGTGGATCTGACGAGTGGCTAGCTGCACTCTTGAGGGACCTCAGCCAATCCCCAACAAAAGGCTTGGCAAGGGGCTGGGACTCCCTTAAAAGTGTAAGATCCTGCTCAAGTGTAGAGGTGTAGAGTGGAGTGTAGAGAGTCGGGTGGAAGATGTGAGACTAGAGGAAGAAGGCTGCTAGGAGGCCTACAGGGATGGGGCTTGCCTGAGAGCCTGGAGATGGAAAGGCGGAACACTTGGTACTCACTGGCCCCCTGAGCAATGACCACATGTATTGCAGGAAAGGGGCACCCCAGTTGATAGGCCTGGTAGCAGCAACCTACCCACCAGCGGTACAGGATTTGAGGATCTGCGTGAGTACACCTGCACCCCCTGGGCGGATAGGGGAAGGAACACTAAGGTGGGAAATCAGATTAGCCCCCTACTAGTGGCTGTTCACCTCAATTAAAGGGACAAGAGCCAGATCCCCTGCTCAGGAAGAAAGTCTCCAGATAGCTGAGTGAAAAGGAGTTAATCTAGGGTCTGGGGTGGTACAACTAGGAGATGCTGACTAGCACTCCACTGTGTTGCTGAAGAAGGAGAAGCTTGTGAATAGTTTGGGAAGTTCCCCTCAGTTATTGGTTCCCTTGGGCATCCTATATCCCCCTTATCCTCAATAAATACCAAATCCAACGCTCAAGGATTGGTTTCTGTCTCTGGATGAAAGCTTGTGTGGAAAATGCTCAATAACTGGCTCTGCAGGACTATAGGGGAATCCAAATTCATCAGCAATCCCTAAGGGGGTGCTACACATGTAAGTGACTAACATAAGTGAGAGAGAAGTTAGAAGCAGAATGTTGCAGTTGAATGCCATGCTACCCTCAGCCCAGTCCTCTAGCAATTACTGGTTGCTGTTGGTATGCACTCTGCTTGGCCAAACAAATGACAGTGAATAGTCAAAGGCAGTCAGCTTTGGAAGAAAATATTACACTTATTTTGTCAACTATGATATGTTTTTGTAGTCATTATTACTTATTATATATTTTTTAATATAGGCAAGAGGAAGAAAGGTTGAACAGACTGCTAAAGGATGCCAGGAGGGAATTTGAAAAGGAGAAATCTGATCTTGAAAATCAACTCAGACAGGTTTAAATAATACTTTGTTTTGCTTTAAAAGGAGGATTGGCTAAATATTTTTGTTTAGGTATGTGAATTTGTCTTTATTTCAGTAATATACTGTGAATTTTAAAAAAATAGCAATTTTCTTGCACTTGATTGGTTGGCTGAAGCTAATACAGTTTACAATGACAAATTAAAAAAAAAAAAAAGCAAAACACCTACCGTACTTGTCAGTCCTACAGTACATGAAGACAGGTTAGTTTATGGATCTTGCTCAAGTATTATGAATATTAAAGAAGAATATAATATAGAATAATGTAAAGAAAGTAATGAATAACATATTGCTGTCACTATGCCACTATGCAGTGAAGGCAGATTTGTAATGAAGTCAGCACTAGACCAAGAACTTGCTGTAAAATATAAGTTTATTAGCATACAGGTAAAGATCCTTGAACATAGCACCACTAACCTGTTTCAGCCTAGCGTGGCCTTTTAACCACTTCATGTCCGGACACTTTTACCCCCTTCTTGTCCAGGCTAATTTTCAGCTTTCAGCGCTATCACACACTTTGAATGACAATTGCACGGTCATGCAACACTGTACCCATATGAATATTTTAGCATTTTTTGAGACAGATAAAACTTTATTTGATGGTATTTATTCACCACTGAGATTTTTATTTTTTTTGCTATATAAATGATAAAGTCCAAACATTTTGAAAAAAAGTGTTTTCCTATAAAATTTTGCAAATAAATAATCCTTCATAAATCTTGGGCAAAATGTATTCAGTTATCTTTTTAGTAAAAAAAATAACCCAAATTAGTTTATAAACAAAAATTATAATTTTTCAAATTCTTTTTTTACATTTTTATTTTATTTTTTTATATTATTATTTATGTTTTTGTTTTTTTTTTAAGCATACTGTCACCTTAGCAGTACAGTGTCACCATAGTGACATTTTTATTGTTTTTTATTTTTTTTTTAAACTGATTGCTTTTATACCCATAAAGGCTATAAAAGCAATCATTTCTCCTCTCTGACTGCATTCTTGCAGCCATTGAGAAATACTGTGAAAGCTGTGATTGGTCACAGCTTGTCTAATGGTAGAAGGCTGTTGTGAATAGCCTTGTACTATGTGACCTCTGTGATCATTCACAGAGATCACACGTAGTAAGCAATGATGTAAGGAAGTTACATCTTATTTACTATTCATGTGATCACTGATTAGCCAATCAGTGATCACATGATCGGGACCTCACACAGAGGTCCCATACAGCAAACAGTGGACACTGGATCGCTGTGCTGCGCACTTCCAGGGAGCACGCACAGGCTGTAAATGCGAGCGCCGTTTATGAACGGCAACCCACTCCTGCACTGCTCCTGTCCAGCCGTTTATGTACATGGGCCGGACGGGAAGTGGTTAAGGTAGACTCTTCTTTGTTTAAAAATAGCAAGCATGTTATACTTACCTGCTCTGTGCAATGGTTTTGCACAGAGCATCCCCGATCTTCCTCTTCTCGGGTCCCCCTCTGGAGCTCTTGGTGGTGGGGGCACCTAAGCAGGCTTTCTCCAAAACCACTGCTCTGTGTGTCCATTAACACACAGAGCATAGCTCGGCCCCACCCCCGCTCTCTCCTCATTGGCTTACTGACTATGATTAGCAGTAACGGGAGCCAATGGCTACCACTGCTGTCTCAGGAGGGAGAGACCCAGGAGAGCCGAGGGTCACGTACATGTCACTGGAACGAAATGGTGCTCAGGACAGTTTTAGGGGGAGCTGGGGGGTGAGCGGGACTTCTGCACACAGAAGCTTTTTACCTTCATGCATAGAAACGGATTAAAGTCTCTCCAGGCTGAAATGAGTTAGCGGTGCTACATTCATGGATCTTTAACCACCTCCCATCCGGCCGTTGTATATAAATGGCCGGACGGTGGCAGTGGAGGGTCGGGTGGATGTTTATAAACGGCCTCCCTGCGCCCTGCTTGTGCACGTTCCCTGGGAGCACCGCGATCCAGTGCCCGCTGTGTCCTCCGTACACAGTGGAACACCGATCGTTGGACGGGACCTCTCTGCGAGGTCCTGATCATGTGATCACTGATTGGCTATGCAGAGTAGTAAGCAAGATGTCACTTGTGACATCATTGCTTACTATGTGTGAAATCTGTGACTGATCACAGAGGTCACATGGTACAAGGCTATTCACAACAGCCTTGTACCATGTGACAAGCTGTGACCAATCACAGCTCACTCAGTAGTTCTCAATGGCTGCAAGAATGCAGCTAGAGAGAAGGAGAAATGATTGCTTTTACAGCCTTTATGGGTGTAAAAAAAAAAATCTTCATCATCCACCACAAGTAGTACAGTGTCACCATGGTGACACTGTATTGCTAGGGTGACAAGTATGTAAAAAAAAAAACATAAATAATAATATAAAAAAAAAAGTAAAAAAAAATGTTTAAAAATTATAATGTTTGGTTATAAACTAATTTGGGTTATTATTATTTTTTTACTAAAAGATAACGGAATACATTTTGGCCAAGACTTATGATAAAATACTATTTATTTGCAAAATTTTATAAGAAAAACACTTTTTTCAAAATTTTTTGACTTTTTCATTTACATAGCAAAAAAAAAAAATCCCAGTGGTGAATAAATACCACCAAAATAAAGCATTATCTGTCTCAAAAAAATGCTAAAAAATTCATATGGGTACAGTGTTGCATGACCATGCAATTGTCATTCAAAGTGTGATAGCACTGAAAGCTGAAAATTGGCCTGGACAAGTGGGTAAAAGTGTCTGGACTGGAAGTGGTTAACCATGTATGCTAAGAAACTTTTATTTTACCACAAGTACTTGGTTGAGTTCCAGCTTCAATATATATCTGGACTTTGTTGGCTACAAGAGCCTCAGTCACAGCACTGACCTCCTCTGCAGCCTAAACAGAATGTTTTGGGTGAGAGCGCGGTGAATGTTTGAATTAATGCAGTGAAGACTGCATGGCCATTCACCATACACTGTTGACATCATTGTAGTATAGGTGAATCCCAGTATATGAATAAAGATGAGCAGAGGGAGGTGAAAGATTAGGAGGCAATAGTGGTGAAGGTTTGAAGATGCTCTCAGACACTTGATGGTAGGTGGTCATGCATACATGATCTGGCCACTGCAAAATGTGTTCACAATCAATTGTTGTACAAAAAGGGCTGCTCAAATCAAATGTGTGCACATTTGTTCCAATGGAGCTAGGACAGAAGAGGCAGTACCAGGACAGGTTTTTTCAGCATCCTGGGAAAGGATGCGGAATTACACCCTCACCCCGCCTCCTAGTGCATGCCATAGAATAGGTGTTCCACCCTGTGCTCAGTTACTGCCCCTTTGCACCGACTGTCCATGGTTGCCATGGTGTGTGCACTGCACATGCGTGGCCATTTTTCTTGATTTGTATAGCAGTAGCTATCAAAGCCATGACATGAAGCTACAGCCTGGACCTGTTTACTAACCATTGATCTAGAGCTTTTGTGCAGTAAAGGCCCCCAACCTCTTGCTGCACCCCCCTGGGTGGCTGTCCCTCCTGCCCACCCCTTGTTTCAGCTCTGAAAAGAGGAGTGAAGTGACAATTTATCTAAACAGGGATAGACTTGCTGTTATTTCATGATCCAATCATAAACCGTGGACTACTGGGCATGTATCTCCTTCTCTTGGACCCTATTTAGGGCCTATCCACTCTTTTCCAGTTTCCTGTAGTAAATAAATATTTACTGCATATAAATTAATGTTTAATAGAATCACTATCTTATGTAGTTTGGTCTCATCTATGTACTTGAGTTTATTGTGTTTTTGACGGGAATTTATAGGGGCCCATTTACATCAGCTTGTGAATTTGACTTGAGATGTGCTTAATGAAAACTGAAGATGCTCATTTTCTTTATTGTATATGTCATTTTGTGTTCATTTTGTTCTTTTCTACCAGGAACAGCAGCAGAACTATGAATTAGAGAAGAGGGCAACTAAGCAGATAAATGACTTACAAAGTGAAATCAGATGGCTGTTACAGCAAAGAAGGGTAAAAGATCAATCGTTATTAAATCAAACACTCTACCCTGCAATAAATGCAGGAAATAAGTTCAATTATAGAAAAAAGAAAGGAAAAAAATGCAGTTATTATATTTATTCAGAGAATGTTAACCCATTCCTGTTTCCTATTTTGAAATTATAGCAGCTGTAATTTATTTCAAAGAATGCTTATTTGACTGAAAGGGTACAGACACAGTATATGGGAGCTGTCATTGTACACACTCCTGTGATGTCAAATTTATCCTTGCTTCACTACCTAATGAGTCGCTTACTTGGAACTGGTATACCCATCTTGACTGGCATTGAAGCAAGGTAAGGTGGACACCACCTGACCGAAAACATGTATTCCAAACACTTCCAGATAAGACTGCTGTTAAAGATCATAAGAGACCAAGCGTTTTTTTAGCGAATTTTTGCAGATTTTTAAACAGTATGGATTACCTGAAGCAGTAATTTTGGCATTTATGCACCAAGATTGAATAGCGTTCCTGGTCTGTACAATGTAATTATAGTACAGCTCACATCAGGCATCTAGAATCCCATTCTATGCTTTTTACAGCATCTTATTCTCCTTTTTAACTACCAAGCTCCAGAAGGGCCATGGAGGGAGCGATTCAGTAACCTAAAAATAACTGCAATGTCTTATTTAATCCAGAATTCTGGACACAATTGAGAGCTTAAAAAAAAGCAGCAACAGCTGTTGTTTATTTTATTATTCCATTTTTTACCGGGAAGGTTAATTCAAAATTGTTTTTCACATGTCATAATTTAAGTTAATTTGACTATGGCAGGCATACTGGCTTTCAGCAAGTGTCATGGCATTTGCCTGTCTCAATATCTACAAAACAGGAGCAGATAAGAATCTGCTTCTAAAATCCTTGCAATGTTTCTAAAACAACAACAAAATTAGAAGGGTAGATTACTATTATATTCTTTGATGCTACTACTTGTCTGCCTTCAATTACTGACTTATGACGTAGTGACATATGATATGCACTATATTGCCAAAAGTATTGGGACACCATCCAAATCATTAGGTTCAGGTATTCCAATCACCTCCATGGCCATAGGTGTATAAAATCAAGCACCTAGGCATGCAGACTGCTTCTACAAACATTTGTGAAAGAATGGGTCACTTCCAGGAGCTCAGGGAATTCAAGCGTGGTACCGTGCTAGGTTGCCACCTGTGCAATAAGTCCATCCGTGAAATTTCCTTGCTACTATCTAGCAAGTTCCACAGTCAATTGTTCGTGGTGGTATAACAAAGTGGAAGTGGGAACAACAGCAACTCAGCCATGAAGTGGTAGGCCACATAAAATGACTGAGCGGAGTCAGCGCGTGCTAAAGCACATAGTGCTCAGAAGTCTCCTACTATCTGCAGAACCAATAGCTAAAGACCTCAAAACTTTGTGTGGCCTTCAGATTAGCACAACAGTGCATAGAGAGCTTCATGGTATGGGTTTCCATGGCCGAGCATCCAAGCCTTACATCATCAAGCGCAATGCAAAGCGTCAGATGCAGTGGTGTAAAGCACGCCGCCTATGGACTCTAAAGCAGTGTAGACATGTTCTCTGGAGTGACCAATCACACTTCTCTGTCTGGCAATCTGATGGACGTGTCTGGGTTTGGCAGTTGCCAGGAGAACAGTATGTGGAGGGAACTCTTAAGGCGTCAGCATACCAAGACATTTTGGACAATTTCATGCTCCCAACTTTTTGGGAACAGTTTGAGGATGGCCCCTTCCTGTTCCAACATGACTGCGCACCAGTGCACAAAGAAAGGTCCATAAAGACATGGATGAGCGAATTTAGGGTGGAGGAACTTGACTGGCCTGCACCCTCAACCCGATAGAACACCTTTGGGATGAATTAGAGTGGAGACCGCGAGCCAGGCCTTCTCGCCCGACATCAGTGCCTGAAGAGTTGAAATTGTTATAGCTGCAAAGGGTGGGCCAACTAAATATTGAACCTTACAGACAAAGACTGGGATGCCATTAAAATTCATGTGCGTGTAAAGACATGTGTCCCAATACATTTGGCAATATAGTGTACATGTAGCTGTGCTGAATATTTTTTAAAGTGATTGTAAATCCTCAACTTGTAAAACCACCCATTCAGTTTAAAAACGAAATGAAAGTTAAAAGATTTGTGTAAAAAATATTTTAAAAAAACATTATAAATACCCTTTTCCCTTTTTTATAAGCAATCACATTCCCTCTGTTCTCAGCTGCATAAGAGTTGGGGGAGGAGAATCAGCAATACACTGATCCCATTCCCAGTGAAAGGCTGCGCGGGGGGTGCATCAGGACAAGTCTGATCATTGGAGGAGAGCAGGCTTTGTTCCCAGCACACACCACGGTGTGTTCTCCTGCTTAGTGTGGTCAGTTTTGAATGGGAAAGCAGAGGAACTGGCAGGAATACCAGGGATTTCACCCAAAGGAAGCAATATAAAGAGAACAGTAGAGTTTTTCATGGCGCAGCAGGCACATATCAAGAATATGAAATGTTGGATTTACGTAAACCTTACTTTAAACTTTAATGTGTCTTCAATCTTTGTATTTGTAGAATAGACCTAGGTTTTCCCAACAGTAGTTCATGTATTTCTCTTTCTGTTTTAGATATCTTTTGGGGGACACTCCATAGAAAGGTAATGATATATAATGGACAGTGATGATCAATAACAACACACTGAAACATAGGTCATGAGTTCTTTTTATACATAAAGATATATAAATATACAAGCAGCAGAATACAATAATCACTGCTGGCGGCTATAGCCACCTACAGTGATCGCACACAAAAACCCGACAGGCTGGTTATACTGATGTTGATCAATAGGTTGACTTCAGTACAACCAGCCTGCCCATAGATGGATGGACATTCTGTTAGTTCCTTCTGAACTGGCCAAATTTCGATCCAGCTATGGATGGCCTTAATCCCACCCTAGCAATACAGGTCTTTAAATAAGTCTTTTGCTTAGTTATCATTGCAGGGATCTTTGTTTTCAAAAGCAAGTGTGCGGTTAATAGAAGCCTAGAAAATGTTTGTTTTTCTCATGAGCTTACCTAGGAATTTTAAAAAGTGTAATTCCTGAGAATATGGGGTGGGGTGGAGTGGAGGTGTGAAAAAATTTGCTAACAGTCTTTGGGGCTTAAAATGTGAGCCTACATACAGAATGCAGGGGTTAGAAGTATGTAATGTAAAGAGTATAGGTGTCAGGAGTATATAACA